TTGAACACTGAAGTGAGACAATGTATTCAATATTAGAAAGATAAAGACAACTATAGCTACAGCCATTTAGGATAGCCTTGGGGATGATATGGATTATCAAGAGAATCTATTTCACTTAGCTGTCAATACCTATTAAAAGATTTCAATACATATTGACAACCTGTACAATATTCAAAGTCGATTGCACACCCTATTCAAGACACCAAGGTAAAAAATAACTATATGGCAAAATGTACGTGTAGCAGAGTCCCACATACACACACACACACACACAACCTATTTGCCATTTGATTGTATTATACATACTCAAATTTTCAACAAATTGTAGAGTGCTTACAATACTGTATGTCTAGGAAATAAAATGTAAAGAGAAACTACCTAATACTCACTAACTTAAAATTACATGGCCTTTACCACATTGTAGTGACCAGACATTTTACATATTGCTCTTCTAAACAATTCTCAACAGCAGATTTTTAACAGGTATTGTTTCCTTTGTTACTCAACCCCATTTTTGATAGGTATCAGTACCGCCTGCGGTCTAAAACCCTGACCATGTTTAAGACACTAGAAAGTGAAAATCCACTGTTCAAGACAAATCTGGAAAATAAGGAATTGCTATCAAAGACAATAAGAAGTTTCTGATAACACGTTAATCCTGGTACAGTGGAACGGTATTTCTACGATATTTCTAATGGAAATATTACCTGTCCAAGACACAAACAAAAAAATTATATCGGTCTTCTATCTAAATTGTAGAGCCTGTTTAAGACATTTTGGTGAAATGTATAGCCTGTTTAAGACAGCAAGGCCAAAAACCATACCCTGGCCAGCGGCAAATCCCCGTATAGAAAATATATGAGAGTAAATATATGGTTTTTTTTATATGCTTTTTTTGTAAATTTGTATTATTTCAAGACTGTTCCATGTGAGTAATAGTGACTAATAGTCACTAGATAAGAACTAGAGTGGTTTTCTGTCAACCATGAAAACACAATAAGTCTAATAGTTAGTAGTAGTTTGTAATAGACCAATACTAATAGTCTAAGTTGTATCCGATTGATAGGTATAAACATATTCATCACAAAAACAAGTTTTTTTTATTTTAAATTTTAATGGTCATTTTTGTTATGGTAACTAATTAAACTAAACATTTAATTTATTGAAACTAGTCTGTTGTTTGTTAGCTATTCGTTTATAGTTTATATGTCTAAAAGTTATATTGACTAGTCCATTACTTATTGCTAATAACTAGTTGGTCTATTTCTTTTCATGGTTGACGGAAAACCACTCTATTAGGTGATCACTATCTAGAATTTATTTCATAATACATAGTATAACCACCGTACTTGCTTTATCTATTTTACATAAAAATTACATTAAAATGTAATACTTATTCAACTTTATTTTGTATAACTCATAATTATTTGTTCGTATTATTTACTTTACATACCATAGGCTACCCAACCATTGCTTGAGAGAAAGAAAAGAATAAATGCGTACGCTTTTATACTAGTATCGGTGCGCGCTCTTAGTGAAATGCGGATTACCTGTGGTATTACGTCACGATCCCGTGCCTCGCGGGATTCAAACAAGTCTGTGACAAGGTATGAAACACTGGTCACGTGATGGACCGATGTGCGCCCCAGGTAGCTTGTCTATCCCTCCCTATCGTTTTTTTTCGTATGGACTTCAAGAGCTTTCGTAAACAGTCGTATCGCTCGACATTTCTCCGATGATCGACCGATAATGTCGCTCCCTTTCGTCGCTCCGTCGCTGCCACATATTCACTGCCATAAACTTGGTTGATCTTTCATTGATTTTGTTCGGATTTCTTTGTAGTTTTTGTTGGAAACCTACATATCAATGTTTTGAGCTTGACTGCTTCGTGCAAGAGATGGGACTGTGCATAGTAAGGAGTAATTACTTTAAGAGAAAACATGTTTTTCAAGACACTTGAGTCACCTTGAAAACCGATGAAGCAGATCTAGACGTCGTGGATTTTTACAGGTCTTAGAGTTGTTTGTTTGTGACATAGATTAACTATGTTTATGAGCAGGAATCAAGCTGATGGAGTTAGTAGTTGGAAAAGAGATATATCTTTACATGTAATGATAGTTTTAGCCAGATTTTTTTTGTTAGTGTAAACCCACGGAAAAAATTATTTGTGATGTCAAAGCCGGAAAACTCTAGTGAGCAGTAAGCCTACGTTTTACCGCTTGGTTTAGCTATTTATGAGGAAGAATTCGTCTATTTTAATAATGAATAATGTCGTCTAATAATTTTAGATGCTTGAAAACTTGAAAACGCTTCGTTAAAAATCTGGTAAAATGAATTGTATGCACTCAACAACCATCAAGATTGCATGTACAACTTTGGTTTTTTACTGAAGCTAAGGTGATTGAGATCAACACTGTTCAAAATCATGTATATTTGTACTTTGAAACTGTAATAAAGCTTTTCAATATTATCAATATGAACTGTTAACTGGATTAGATTTTTAATTTTATTATAACTAAAGCTCATATTTGTCATGTTTTTACTAATGTTTCTTTTTCTGAATCTTGAAGACCTCGAAAGGTTTCCATATTTTATAACTTTTTAATTTGTTTTTGTTTATATTACATTTTTCCAGCGTGTTTTCTTTTCCTTTTTTTAAGAAAACTAATTTATCCTTGACTTTCATTTTTACCTCGAGGAACTCACGAATGTTTTCCGAAAGCTCTCGAAGTCTATCCGAATGAAAATGGGTAGGGAGGGATAGACAAGCTACCTGGGGCACACATCGGTCCACGGCGAGTGAAATGCTTAATGTTCATTTTCTCGTCATGTAATAAATATTTCATACTGAAAATCGTGAGGTAGTTAGACAATCTGACGATGTGTTGTT